TAAGGCACCCGGGAGACCTGTGTGGGAGAGTAGCTGGGAGTCCTACTCTAATGTCGAGGCCTGGGTCCCCGCAGGGCACGGTGGCCCTGATTCCTGCACGGGATCAGCTGCAGAGGAGTCCTCCATCACTCTCAGCAAAGCAGTATTCCCACTAGTTGAGACCCGGGTCTCGGAGCGACACTGAATGCTGCCTCCCTCTGGCCCCCATCTTGGATCCAAACTGAAGTTTTTTTTCTGTACAACTTCTCTTGGTTTTAAAAAGGGCCCTTCTCTCCCACCCTTCATTCAACTGCATCTTTCCAGAGCCCCATTGTGCACAGGGCCTCGTGTGAGGGAGGAATTGAAGGGGTGCAAAGATAAGCGTGTCCCTTGCCCTGAAAAGCACTTACAAGCTGCTAAGGATAAAGCCACCACTAGGTAATGAGTGGCATATGAAGTCCAATGCCATTCTACCCCATGTTCCCACAGCTCCTTCCCCACATGGCTTTGTCCTTAGCTTTGAGCTTTGTCTCCTCTTACAAGGGGCAACGGACTCAAAGGCTTTCTTGAGCCAGGTAGACTGAGGTAGAACTGGGCAACAATAGGGGGTGGAGGAAACTGGGGAGCTGCTCTGCCTGAAGGTATTCAAATGTAGTTAAACACATGCACGCACAGTCAGCCCCTGCACCCCAAATCAATCCATCTGTGAGCCCAATGGGTGGCCTGGTTCTGCCTCCTGAGTGACCAGTCCAACCCACCCTCTCCCTCCACTGTCCAGCATGGCCTCCTGACCCCACGGGCATTTGGGATGGGATCTGTGAGTTGTTCCTTTGCAACTTTTCCCAGAGAATCACGCAGCCCGCTTTCTGAAGAAGAGCTCGTGTGGTCATCCTTAGATCATGGTTCATGGTTAGCTCAGCGCCTGGTTCCCTCACTGTCTCAGTAATTTTTCCAAGGTGCTCCTAGACCAGAAGATAGACCTATGAAGTCCGATTTGCTAAGTTGATCCAACCAAACCGTTCATAAATGTTTATTTCTTAACATCTTAGTGCCTGCTGGGCACTGATCAGACACCACCACCACCTACCTTTCCTTTCCCACCCTGATTTTTATTCTGTTCCGTACTTGCTTTCTGCCCCAGCACCTGAGGAAAACCCGGTTTCTCAAAGACACCAGGTCATCGAAAGGATGAAACTGTGATCTAATGTCAAAGCCATGAATACCTTGCGCTAGTAGTTTCACTACTAGTGACAAGTGACAGGTATGGACTGTGCTTTCCTCAAAAACTAGAACAGTTCCCTATGAATTCACAGTGGTGCCCTGAGGCACCGTTAGCACACCGTTTGAGAACCATGATATTCCTCAATAAGTGGTAACAATGATGATGCAATAATTGGCGTTTATCCCTCCGTTTCAGTTTGAAATGAGCTTTGACTCTTTACTAATAACCAATGTCTCTCTCTCTTTCTCTTTCTCTCTCTCCATCTCTAAGTTCTGGCCCAAGAGGTGACAAGTAGGTTTATTAACATACTATTTAAAGAAATAAACATCCAAAGGGGACCAAAACTGACTCGTATAATTTTTTTTTAACAAATTCAGCAGATGAATTAATAACAAAACAATAACTCCTAGAATTTGCAAAGTCATCAGCCTGAGACCCTTTCCTGCACAAAGCACTACTTATAGGTCCTCAGAAACCTCGCTGAGACCTCTTTAAGGAAGAGGCAATAAAACCAGTCCCTGAACTAACATTCCCCTGTCCTCCTGCTCTTTGCCAAAAGCAGAAAAATAAACTAACGCTAGAAACTACTGAATTTGGTCAGTTAGGGATGCTGGACAGACTCAGGCTGTCTTCCCAGGTACTTGTCCTAAAGACATCCAAAACAAAGGAGGCACATCCAAGTTCAAAAATTCCACAAATAATGAGGAAAGGAGTCATATGGGTGGGACTTTTTTTTTTTTTCTCATTGGAAAGTCCAGCTTGACTTTGCTGCTCTTTCCTATGCACAGGTGACCAGCATCCATGATTAACTTGGCTGAGAAGGGAATAAGAAAGGGGGGGAGGGGCAGATCCTTTCCTATTGACTGTTTAAATAAATCTATTTTCCTTTGTAGATAAAGTCGAAATCACAGGTAACCAAAGAGAAGAAGGTGAAATCAAAATGTCATTACTCAGAAATCACCATCGACTTCCACACCCTTCTCTGCCCGTGTGTGTATTTTACTTTCTTGTTTTTCTGTTTTATTCCAACCAAAAAGGAAATCATATTGTTCTGTGGCCTTTTTATTTTTCCCTTAGAAGACATACTGCGAATAGATCTTCATTCCAAGAAACACATCATAATCAAAAATACTCTTTAAGAGTGACACATTATCCCATGAATGAATGTGATATAACTCAGCTTTCAAATCCTCCAGCATTGAACTTCGAAGTTGTTTTCAGATGTTTGCTAATATAAAGGAGGATGAGATAAACATCCTCATGGCTAAACATTTTGAGCGTACATCTTTATTTTCATAGAAGTTCTTTGAATTGGAATGTATGGGTCATCGAGCACACACATTTTTAAAAGTTTTGGATAACATACTATCGAACTATTTATCCTCATCCAAAAGTGATTTTTTTTTTTTCGATTTAAAACTCTGCATACTGGCAATGTATAAAATCCACTTCTCCAAGAGTCTTCCTCCATAGTTTATGTTTTTCCATGCCAAAACAACTCCAAAATACCATAAATGAGTGAGTGGGTGTGTACGGAGCTAGCACTATTTCCTTGCTTGTATTTAGAAACTAAACTATCCCTCCGAGTTTCTCATTAACTGAATTTTATGAAGACTTCCTGCCAACAAACAGGCAAGGGTCATTTATATTCCAGGCAGGGGAAAGCGTCTATGAGCAAGCTCCATCATGAACTAACGTCTACGCAAAGCCTTGTAAAATAAACATCTGGAGAAAGAGTACAAGGTTGGAGATGGAGAACCAAGAGCAGGCTCGTCAGAATCACAGACACACTGGAGGACAGACAGTGCCAAGAGCTCAGCACATACAGGCTGGGCATTGAGGGGCGAGGGGACCCCATCATCAGGCACATTATTGGTTATGGAAATACCAAAGCTGCAGGGCTAAGGTGTGGCTTTGTCAACACTTTAAGTCAGCCTGAGGCACTGCAGATTCTGCTGTTGTTATATATAAATAGTCATATGTCAACATCTCCCAAGAGGGCTAGAGGAGACAGAACACAGGGCTTCAACCCACAGCCCCCACCCCCCAACACCCAGGGAAACCAATGGCTCCCCTGCTCATGAGCTACGTGCCGGGAAGCAATGTTGGAACTCCTCTGAGACTTATTCTCTTCATCTGTAAAATGGGTTCAGGAATACTACCCCTCCTGGCTGTGGGCATTCAGCAAGATGATGCGTGGGGATCATTGCATGACAGTAAGTGGGATGTTGTAGCGGCACTTGGCGTGTGGATAGAAGGTGAACAGAACAAGGGAATTAACTGGACGCGTTCAGTTTTCATAGGAAATAAACTGAGAGTGGAAACAAGGTCCAGAATTCAGCATCACCTCTCCCAAAAAGGGCCCCACCGTTAACAATGGAAGCCGTGGAGCCACAGGCAGACCAGGGCCAACTGGCCCTTAGGGATGTTCTGAACACTCCATGGGAGTCCACCAGCCACAGCAAAAATCCCACGAGACCAGGGGATGGGTTCCCATTTGCAAGCCATGAGAGCTGGAGGGGAGCCTGTGGGAGAGATTGCATGCAGGAGACTTGACAGGAGATTTCTGCCTCTCTAGTCCCTGGTCAGCACCATGGAAAAGCTGAGCAAGAGAACCTGAGATTCAGCCCCCCAGCCCTCGCCCTCTGGAGGAAGGGGAAACTTCACATTCAGGGGCTAACCCTGTGAAAGGAACCCGAGGAGGAAGACCACCATTGCCTAGGCTGCCTAAGCTGCTTTCTTACTGTGGAATTGGGAGTTTCTTCCCATCATAGTCTAGTATTTAAAAAGGGGGGGGGACCTTGGAAAGCCAAGGGGCAAAAGTCTAATCTCCCCAGGCAAGAAGAAGTCAAGCTACCAGAAAACCCAAATACAGAGGGCAGTTACGTACATCATATAGATCCTGAAAGCCTGCGACTATCCTGCCGGGGGATCTACATTTATTGACAGGTGATGTTGCTTCATCTCCCAGGATTCCATTTCCCAATATCTTTAAAATGGGATTAACAAGAGCACTCCACTCTCCGTGTTGCTGAGAACATGAAATGAGATAAGGGGTTGGGGAGGTGTGCCTGGCACGGGACCTGATGCCAATTAGGTATTTGTGTATTCATATTATTCGTGTTGTTTGTTATTAAAAACAGATTACAAAATAATACTTATAGTAGGACCCTATGTTTACTGTTCTAAATCGTATGTAAATGAATGGTAGAAAAATATCCGGCAGGATAAGTTTCCCAAATGTAAACAAGGGTGATCTCTGGCTGGTGGAATTTCAGTGATTTGTAGTTTATATACTAGATAGCTTAGGTCTTTTTTTTTTTAACATTGTATATTTTTATATTTTCACATTCTATATTTTATAAACAGAATGAAAGCAAGAAAAGAAAGAAAGGAGGAAGGGGAAAGAAAAGAATAGAAAAAACCATCCATTCGATATACACACTGAGAGTGTTAATAAAATCAATGAGGATATAGGCAGCAATTTCAAATGCTGGTCACAGACTTTATGCAACATGGGAAAATGCTTATAATATGTTGTAAATGGAAAGCCAGGATACAGAATATTTTATGTTTCATCATTTCAGCTGTATAAAAAAATGCATAGAAAAAGGATTTAAGGAAAAGATTTCAACATATGAACAGTGATTATCTCTGAATGCTAGGATTCTGGGTTGATCATTATTTTCTTAATACTGTTTTCTATTTTCTGAATTCTGTGCAAGGGACCTAAATTACTTTGACAATTACAAAATAAGCACAAATAATATATTAATACAGAATAAAGAACTTCTCTTACTTGCTTGATGAAAACCAGCAGCACCAGGGTGAGAAAGGGCCTCCCAGGGGCCCAGAGCAAGTGCTTTCCATGGGAAAGGAGGGAGCCGGTGCCCCCCGCAGCAGAGATGCTCATAGGCAGGACCCGGACCCCAGGCAAGGACCCCGGGCTGCCTCTCCCCGGCCCTGCCCGGCTCAGCTGGGGCCTCATCCTCCTGGCACCCTTTCACAAGTGCGGACACATCCCTCCAACAGTCCAAGATGTACCACAGGCAGCCTCCTCCTGCATTCCTCCTTGTCCAGAGAGGAAGTGTTTGCACAAATCCTCTGCACGCCGGCCGCTGCGTGCGGAGAGTGTCTGAACGGATCCAGAGTGATCTACCGAATCTCCAAGTTCCTCATCCCCCTCCAGCGCCCCCCCCCCCAAAGGCAGGGAGACTTTTCCCAGACCTTCCCCAAGTTGGCTGTGCTCCGGGCAACTTCCTCAGCAGGCCCAGAAGAAACAGCAAGCGCTCGCTGGACTCCACCCCGAGGCTTCTGCTCCATGCACAGGGCCAGGAAGAGACAGGCTGGGGTTCAAGTGGCCAAGGAGCCAGCTGGTGAGACAGGGCGACCTCCAGACACCTGGGACACTAGTGTCTTTGTCAGGGAAGTGGGACTTGCTTGATCAACTCAGAAGCAGGGCCATCTCTGGCTCCTGATTATGCCAGGAGAACAGGCAAGACAGTGACCCAGGCCAAAATACATCATCTCCTGACCCAGGGACTGAAGCAAAAAAAAAAAAAAAAAAAAAAAATCAGTGACTCAGGTTGTCGACACAATAGCAAAGCATTGCGTGGAACAATCCAAACTTCACTCCTCTTGAATGCCCACTTGTTCTGAACACAACATTTTGTTCTTCTGAACACAATGTCGCTCAGCCCACCTAGCAGATCCTTTTATGGAATGCGTGCTCATCACTTACTAACCAACACGTCTGTACCTTCTCACCCCAATTCACGTTTGCACTCTTTTTATCCCCTATACTACTTCATTCATCCTCACAAGAATTACCTATAGGTACAAGGTTCAGAGAGGTTAGAGTGCCTGCCCAAGGCCACACAGCAAGTAAAAGGCAGAATCATGTCTTCTGATCATAGTCACCCGACCACAGCTACTCGGGAAGGTATCATTCCCCACCCCCACCTTCTCAGGGTGATCCCTTATTCTCTAGCCAGGCTCATCATGTCTTTAAAAGGGTCCACCTGGGCCCAGCACAGTGGCACACACCTATTATCCCAGCAGCTCAGGAGACCAAGGCAGAAAGGATTGCAAGTTCAAGGTCAGCGTCAGCAACTTAGGGAGGCCCAAAGCAACCTAGTGAGACTCTTGTCTCTAAGTAAAATATAAAAAGGGCTGGGGACGTGGCTCAGTGGTTAAGCTCCCCTGGGTTCAATCCCTGGTAGGTACCAAAAAAAAGTGGGGGATTTTCTTGGCCCTTCTCATCCCCCATTTCTCTCAGCATATCTTTCCAATTTTTTCCAGCCTCCCAAACAGGAGGCCCAGATGGAAGGTATGTAGATGGGGTCAGCAAAATGTTTCCATTAAGTTGTCCGTCCTTCCTTCCTTCCTTCCTCCCTTCCTTCCTCCCTCCCTTCCCTCCCTTAATCTCCATTTAAGTCAACCCATCTTGGCCAACTTCACTCTGAATTCTGAAATTTTGGGGGAAAACAGGTGACCGCTACGTAACAGAAACCTGTGGAATCCCACGTGGAAAGATTTTAAACCTTAGTAGTACAATATTCCATCCTAACAAAGAGCCCCAGTGTGGACTCTTCGGATGGCACGAGCTCTGGAATCCATGTGGTCCTCTCTTGGGTATAGCAGAGAGCAGGATGAAGTGACAGAGGAGGAGGAAAGTCCCCAAGGGATGGGCTCAGACACAATGGCTATAGTTGGAAAGCTATAACTGTAACTTCACAGTAAGGACTATCCTCCAAGTCCCCGGCTGGTAAAGAAAGTGTCTGCTTTGTGGGGAATCTCCTATCTCCCCTCTTTGAACTTTTTCTCTAAAACATTCTTTTCCCAAAGGAACAGGTGTCAGGTCCACACTCGATTTCCCCTCCCGTTGGATGGATGCCATCTAGCGGCAAAATGCTGTAAAGCTTCTTGCCAAGAGAGGGCAGCCACCAGCAAGCACAGGCGCCCATGGTTTGCAGGGCTTCCAAGAGCGCTGGACGCGGTTTCTCAGGCTTTCCAGAGGAAAAGCACCCACGTAGTGGGAGGAACGTACACTTCTCTCCTACCCGCTCAGGCAGGTAGATCCTTGGTTATATCTGGGGGTCTTCAGGATCTAACATGTAATCAAGAACCTGCGTATTTTGGATGCCACACAGAATATTCTTTCCCCCACCCCATTGCTTCCTCATCTCAGGCTTCTTACCGTTCTTGTATAGCTTTTTAACTTTTCCTGGAGTTTCTAACTTGCCATCCTCGTAGAATTTTTTTTTAATTCCCGAGGCTTAAGTAAATGGCAATAGATGCTCTGTAGGTTCTGAGATGCTCCGTACCTCTCCCCAATCCCATCCCAGAGAAGGGCACTGGGTTGGTGGGGGGGATGCTCAGCCTCCCCACATACCTGCACTGAGAGAGTTCCTGAAGGACCTTCAGCATCACTGCACCTGTCAGTGACACCTTCAAGGGGACATTAGTGATGGTGCTGAGGGTTCTGTCAGTATCTAAGGCTCCAGGATGGTGAATTCTGGCCATCCTCCCCATTCTGCACAGCCTGCCAGTACCTCCCATCTCAGAGTCCCTGCACAAGGCAGCTGTCCTCTGCATTCTCTCTCTATATAGGGCTGGGTAAGAAGCAAGCCCATGGAGTCCTCAGAATGTCCTGTACTGTAATCTAATAGTGAGGACCCTGCTCCATGCAAAAGGCAAGGTGTGGAAGACCCACCCAGACACCCATCCAAATGGACCCTGGACTTGAGTCAAAACCAGCACTCTCAGCTGCACCCAATGGCACACACTTGTCATCCCAGCCCCTCAGGAGGCTGAGACAGGAGGATCACAAGTTTGAGGACAACCTGGGGCACTTAGTCTCATAATAAAATTGTGAAAAGGCTGATAATGTAACTCAGTGGTGGAGTGCCTGCCTAGCATGCACCTGGATTCCAGCCACAACATCACAAAACAAACAAACAAAAAAAATAGTGCTCCACAATAACCGGCAGAAGCAATCCAAGTGTCCATCAATGGAGAAACAGATTTTTTTTAAATGTGATATAATAAACTCAATGGAATATTATTTTGCTGAAAAAGTTTCTGACCCGGAAACTTCAGGGTTCATCACAACATGATGAACCCTGATGACATTACGCATTATACTACCTTGAAATAAGTTGCACACAAAAAGGACAAATACTGTGTGACTCATCTCACTGAGGTCCCGAAAGTAGTCAAATTTATAAAGACAAGAAAGGAGAGTGGCCGGTTCAAAGGCCTGAGAAGCGGGGGAAGCAGGAGTCCTGGTGAGTGGGTGCCGCATTTCAGTTTTGCAAGAGTTCTGGAGGTGGATGGTGGTGGTAATTGCCCAATAGCGTGTGTGTATTCAATGCCACTGAATTGCACCCTCCAAATGGTCAAGATGGCAAATTTTATGTTATGTCTATTTCACTACAAATTTTTAAAATCAAGCACTGCCCTCCTGCACATCTCCATCCGGGGGAGGGCTGAAGGTCCAACCCTGTGTCCCAGTTCTGTGTTCATTTGAGTGTAGCCCTCTCCCGCCACCATGCTCACGTGGATGCAGCACACCGGAGTGCACTCTGATTTCCCAGGGGACCTGAAGAGACTGTCAGGACACCAGATGGCAGGGCTGAGGAGTGGGGACCATGATAAAGAGGGGAGGAACTGGCCCCACGGCTCAGCCTGCAGCCGAGCACCTCATTCAGTCATGGACAGGGCCAGGCGGCAGCAGGCACTGACCCTCCTCCCCATCTGCCTGGCCTTCGCCCTCTCCCTCACCGCGGTGAGCAGCAGCTACTGGTGTGAAGGGGCACGGAAGGTCACGAAGCCGCTGTGCCTCGACCAGCTGCACGGGAAGAATTGCATTCACTTCAGACGGTCCAACAGCAGCTATGGCAGCAAGGACGAGAGCCAGGTGGTCCTGTACATTTGGGAAATAGGGGACGACAAATTCATCCAGCGCCGGCTCCACGTGGGGCTCTGGGAATCCTGCGAGGAGAACCTCAACAGCACAGGTGAGCTCCGTCAGCAGGGTCCCAGGGGCACAGGTGCAAGATGGTGGCCACAAGGGGGTGCTCTGGAGCCAGGTCACCTGGGTTTGCATCTTGGCTGTGCCACAGACTGTCAATGCTTTCTTAAACAATGTCCTCTGACCCTCAGGTTTCCCCATCTATAACATGGGAATGGTGGCAGTACTTATCTCGGTAGAGTTATTGTAAAGGTTAAATGACGAGATTCCCATATAGTACTTGCAACAGAGCCTGACACCTTGTTAAGTGATTATTGAACATTAGCTTTTACCCTTTGTCATTGGCACCCAATCCTAGAGGATCAAAGGTGGACCCACCCTAAACTACATCCCTGATATTTCTCCTGTACTTTTAAGGGGTCTTGGAACAGAAGGTTCTCTCCACAAACAGACTTATACATCCAGACGCAGTGGTGTGTGCCTATATCCCAATGACTTTGGAGGCTGAGGCAGGAGGATCTCAACTTCAAGGCCAGCCTGAGCAATTGAGCGAGACTCTCAGCAACTTAGCTGGATGCTGTCTCCAAATAAAAAGCAAAAAGGACTGGGGATGTAGCTCAGGGGTAAAGTGACTGGGATTCATTCCTGAGTACTATTAAAAAACAAAACAGACTTTTACAATCATGGGAGTATCTCCCCCATCATCTACCAAAGCATGACCCTTAACAAATTAGACACTTATCATAGGTACTCCTTGAAATAACCCTGCAAGGCATATATTATTCTTCAGCTCATAAACAAAGAAACCGAAGCTTAGAGAATTTCAACTCCCACAGTTGTTAAGACTACTCCCTCGGCTATTAAGATTACTGCAGGGGCCTCCCAACTCCTCTCTTCATGGGTAGTGTTATTTTTCTATAAGGCCATAAAGTTCTTAGCTCAGTGATCAATTCCCATGATGCCCCAATGATGGTAAAAGTCTGGGGCGTTTTTTTTTTTTTAATTTTAGAGATTTAAAGGTTTGGGTTTTTGTTTTTTTGTTTTTTGGTACTGTGGATTGAACCCTCAGGGGCACCTTACCATAAAGGTCTTGTAGAAGGACAGCACTACCTTTATGGTCAAATGCAGGAGGTCTGTGACCCTAATCCTCAAGGATTCCCAAGACAGTCCCATATTTTGAGGTTGGCAACAATAGACACCAAATCCATAGACAAATTACTTAGAAGCTTCTACTCCTTTTTCCAAGTCCCCATCTGAGAACTGCCTACTTCTATTTCCATAGCTATATGTAAAAGGCCACACCCATTATCAAATGTTGGTGTGAATCAGAATCACCCAGGTACCAAGCCCTGGAGGTTCTAATTCAGTAAGTTTAGGGTGGTTCCAGAAACATGCATTCTTCTTTTTTTATAAAAAGTTTTAACCAAAATGACATTTTCTCATAGATAAGAGACCAATTCATTTTGAAAGGCTTATAAGAAAAATCAACTGTCCCTGATCCTTCCTCATAACTTAGTCCTACCCTTCAGAAGAAGCCACTTTTAACTTGATTGTTTCATTTTAGACATTATTTATTGACTTTCTGTTATATATTTAAAAAAACCTTAATTCTCTCATACCACAACATCCCACGTGCCTCTGCCATCTTCCTTCATAAAATGATATTACTGTTCTATTTAAATTGGTAAAGCAGTAATTCATTTTTGGCTGTAAGGCAACTCAACAGGACAATGTTCCTTAGAAGAAGTCTAACTAGAGAGGCTCTGGGTGTCTCGTCCCATGACTAAACACTCAGGGTCACTCCAGGTGAACTGGGCTGCACGAAATCATCACACAGAGACAGAGAAATGCCTTTTTCTTTGAGTCCTGTGATGGCTCCTCTGACCTTAGGGGTCGATGGAGAGAGAGAGAGAGAGAGAGAGAGAGAGAAGCACATGCTGAACTCTTTTATTGGGGAGAAGCCATTCAAATGAGGCAAAAGGTATGGTTTCAGGGAGTTGAGTCTAGCTTCGTGATGTCTGCTGTCAGCAGGTTGACTGACATCTAGGAAAGCCACACCCATCTCATGTGCTGAGTGGGGATCAAAGGCAGAACAAGAGAAGGGGACACACAAAGGGAGGCTCCATGGAACATTTTATCCCAAACAGGGCAAAGGGGTAGGATTACAAAGGAATAGGTGAGTGTAGTTCAACCCCCATGGGTGACGCCTATACCTGGAGTCATGCCTTGCTATTCGAGCTGGGGTAATGCCCAAGTTACTGTGAGACCTGGCCCTATGATGCCAGACTGAAGGCAATAATTGGTCAGTGCCCCCGGGCATCAGGACTTGAAGGTTTGCACCCAGGGCAGCTGGGGATACAGCTCAGTTGGTAGAGTGCTGGCCTTGCATGCACAAGGCCCTGGGTTCAATTCTGCATGGAGCTAGACACTTGGGGAGGACTGGAAGCAGCTGTGTCACCTGGCCTCCTGCATATCATAAGGCACGTACCTCCCACTGTCACAGAAACGCTGAGCAGGTGGAGGGTGTAAACTGTCCCGAAATTTCTGATAAAAAATCAACCAGCATGTGTGTGGGGTGGTGACTCTTCTCAGGCTAAAACAACAGATAAAAGTATAGTTCAGAGACTGTGTGAGGATCTTTGATGCTCCTTCCTCTAGAGGAAATCCCCGTGGCACTTCTGCCAACCCACAGAGAGTGCGCCCACGCACACACACCACCTTCACCTGGATCACACCACCTTCACCTGGATCACACCACCTTCACCTGGATCACACCACCTTCACCTGAATCACACCACCTTCACCTGGATCGCACCACTGAGGGTTTTTCCTATATCATCAGGGACACCCCCTGAATTCCAAGGAGGGCTGCTGTTCTCACTGGTTCATATTCAAGTAGAAATAAGGGAATATCTCTTGATCCCTTTTTGATTGATGTGTGACTATATTTTTGATGTCACGACAGAAAAAGATCTAAACAAATGCCTCACTGTACATTGCTAAAGATTCCCCCACAGAGGGCTGGGGGTATACCTCAGTGGCAGAGTGCTTGCTTACCTAATGTGCACAAGACCCTAGGTTTGATCCCCAGCACTGGGAGGAAAAAAAAAAGTTCACATCACCGAGATGCCTCTTGAGATGCTCTTTATTTTTTTTTAAAAAAAGTAGAATTTGATAAACATATTTGGAAAATATTGCATTTTATATTTTCTTCTTGAAAATTCACAATATCCATTAGCATACCAAAATCTCTGTGAGAAAACTGATTAATATGACATATCCCAATGTTTTCCAATATATCATCTTTATTTTATATGTATGTGCATATCTGTTTGTTTGTGTGTGTGTTTGTGTGTGTGTATGTATTAACATTTGGCAAGACTGGTGGAGCACACTTTGAAAAAGGCTGACCTATGACAATAGAGTCATTATACAAATGGGAAAACTGAGTCCTGGAGGTACAAGTGACCCATTGAAGAGACTGACAGAGCTGGATATGGAACTCTTTGTCCTGACTTTTCCTGCCCGCCCCCCACCCTACACAAAACTACACAAAACTCAGCTGAAGGGCAGCAGCTCTAATAAGTCTCAATGAGTCATGTTGTGTCCATCAACCTAAAAATCCTCTGCTGACATTTGACCCATTTCTAAGTATAAGAAAGTCATCAAGGTCTCTAAATATTGCCCTCACTTTATCAAGAAGGGAGAAAGAACGATATCTTCCCCAGAACACTTTTCACATCATTCCCCGAAGACATATTGTTACCTCTAGGTTGTCCCTAAAGCAAGAAGTTTAGAATTGATTTTTTCCTTAATAGAAAATAAACGGATATCAAACATATTAGAGGATAAATAAAAAGCTATATATCAAAAGAAGGTGCAGACTCAAACGCTTGTCTATAGGAGGAGGTGATAAAAATGGGCGAAAAATCTGGGATTGCCAATACCCTGGAAATTTCCTGCTTCTGGTACTTGTGAACCCAATGCAGTCAGATCCTCTAATTTTTCAAATGAAATAAAATATTCGACCTTTTTTTAATAAAATGTCCCAATTTTAAAATCTCTTTGGAACATTGCATGAGCCCAACAAAATATGTTTGCAACAGAGTGTAACCGGGAGTCCCCGCTGGAAAATACACTTTCCAAATATCTGCTACTTTATTGAGTTTGTCACAGGGTCTGGGAGATTTGGGGCATAAGGGGAAAAAAGGGGGGTTAGTAAATGGAAAGGAACCCAATAGCATTTTGGAGAGAAGGGCCACAGTTGCTCAGTGGAAGGGCAGCAGCTCTAATAAGTCTCAGTGAATCATGTTGTGCCCATCAACCTAAAAATCCTCTGCTGACATTTGACCCATTTCTGAGTCTAAGAAGATCATCAAGGTTTCTAAATATTGACCTCACTTTATCAAGAAGGGGGAAAGAACGATATCTTCCTGGCTGTGAGGATCCAGCCAGGGAAAGAGGTTCCTTGGCCCTGAACAAATCCAGGGTATCCCAGCACCCCCAGTTCTGCTGTCCCATGGGGTCGCCCTGGGTGTCTTCCTTCCAAAACAGCCCCATCTGTCTAAAAGTTGATTCTCTCAAGGTTATGGTTTAGATGTGAGGTGTCCCCCAAAAGCTCAGGCGTGACACAATGCAAAAAGGTTTGGAGGTGAAACAATTGGTTTATGGGAGCCTTAATCCAATCAGTGTGTTAATCCACTGATAGGGATTAACTGGGTGGTGACGGTAGGCAGGTAAGTTGTGGCTGGGGGAGGTGGGTCATTGGAGGTGTGCCTTCAGGGTGTATATTTTGTGAGCTGAGCCTGGACACTCTTTGCTTCCTGGTGCGATGTTCTGAGCCACTTTCTTCCACCACTCCCTTCCGCCATGATGTTCTGCCTCCCCTAGAGCCCCAAGGAATGAAGCCAGCCTTCTGTGGACTAAGACCTCTGAAACTGTGAGCCCCCCAATAAACTTTTTCCCCTCGAATTGTTCCTGTCAGGCCTCTTGGTCACACCAGTGAAGAAGCTGACTGAAATACCCAGGAAACCGTGACCTGGAGCGCTATTTCAGGACTTCCACTGTACAAGCCACCTTCAATAGTTCTGCCTTTTCTCCCCCCCAGACCTTTAAAGGAAGACCATTTCTTTGTTCCCACATTCTAAAACAAGGATATGAAATGAAAATTCCAGGTGGAGGCAATGCTTAGATGTTCTTGTCCTTAGGCCAATCCTTGAACCAAGAAAATATGTTGATTTTAGATCCTATGCTGTTATCTACCAATCTCCAAAAGTTCAAGGAGAGGGGGACCTATGCACCCCAAATGGGCCAAGCTGACTGGGGATGGCAGCGTCCAGCTCCCAGGACGTGGGCACCATCTCCTAGGGCTGGCTTGCTGTGCTGCTTGGCCACCAAGCGCTGCCAAGCTATGTAACACCCGTCTCTCTGGCTTCATGGGATTTATAAAGATTTTTCCTTTTAATCCTGCTGGCTTTATTCAAAAGGAACACCATTTCTGAGGATTCGAGTTAATCAAGGGGTCACTGTGGTCTGACTCTTTGGGCCCAAGCTACACTCACCCTTCTAAGCTATTGTGAATTCCCTTAATCTGCGCGGCTGGCCTCCACCCACTCTGTGCCCTGCCCCTGGCTCTGCTCCTGGCCTCTTTACTCTTTTGAAAAGGCAGCTCTCCTCAGAAGACAAGAGAGACCCTTACTCCTTGCTATGCTTTGGGCATGGTTTGAGTGTCCCCCAGAGTATGGAAGAATGTATTAGTCTGTTTCCTGTTGCTATAACAAAACACCTAAGGTATTTTGTACTGGAAGCCTAGTCCTCAGGGTGGTGGTGTTGAGGCAGGGGAATCGTTATGTGGTGGGGCCTGACAAAGAGTCATAGCTCATTGGGGAAGCCACCCTTAGAACAGACTAATGTATTCTTTGAGGGGCCCTGGGTAGTTCCTGAGAGATCAGGTTGTTATAAAAAGAACCAACCTTGCCTGAAATTCCTTGTGCTTCCCGTCTTGCCATGTATTTATTCTCTCCCTCTTTTACATACACTTTCACCATCTGCCATGCTGTGATGTAGACAGAAAGCTCTCCCTAGAGCTAAGGAGAAACTGCCACGATACTCTGGAAACCGCAAAATTGAAAACCAAATAAACCTCTTTTTTAATAAAAAAGTACCCAAACTTAGGTATTTTGTGATAGCAACAGAAAACAGACTAATACATTCCTCTGTGCATTAGAGAGAGAGATAGTGTTATACCCATATGGAGACCTTCAAATAACTCTCAGACTACACAGTGCCATTCCAATTAAGCCTGCTCTCCAAAGAACAAGATAGTCAGAGTGATGCGCCCGTCTTCAGTTGGCCTCATATTTAAGCCAAAAAAATATAAAAGGGACATTTGGGGGTTTAGCCAATGTAAGCAAGCAAGTACAGAAGCTGAATTGGGCAATTAATGAGACAATTCAATGAGTTCATTGGTATTTCCCACAGGACTTTCCAGGTTGGCATAGCAGCAAGCAAGCAGAAAGAAAGTGGGTCGAAATGACCCTAGTTGAGTACAAGTTAGAAAATGGTTACTAACGTCTAGACAATCAATCTCTGACAAGGTACATTGCCCAAGGAAAAAGAGCAAAGAGAATGATTTTACTTTGTAAAAGAATTTCTATGCTAGTTGACTATTAATGGGTACAGAGGTGGGGCTTTCCCATGGGAGAAGGACTTCTTACATGATATGGAATCTCAGTGCAAAATGGAGTCTGTTTGGTCATTGCCCATATAGCCCAGCCCATAACAATAGCAGGTAGTGATCAGTGATGTAGAAAAAGGTACTGAGTCTCAAGTGGGAGAACCCTATTTTCTTTTTTTTTTTTTTTTTTTGGGGGGGGTGCAGTACCAGATATTGAACTCAGGAGCACTCGACCACTGAGCCACATCCCCAGGCCTATTTTCTATTTTATTTAGAGACAAGGTCTCACTGAGTTGCTTAGCACCTCGCTGTTGCTGAGGCTGGCTTTGAACTCATGATCCTCCTGTCTCAGCCTCCCAAGCCAGTGGGATTCTAGGCCTGTGTCACTATGTCCACCAGGGAGACCCCATTTTCAATTCCTGACTCTACCAACCTGTTTGAGTCTGGCGTCCAAATACAGAGGGACTTCTGTTTGCCTTTGTCAATAATTAAACAAACAAGAATATGTAAGGTGATTTATAAAAATACTTTCACAACCTTCTTATTGGAGAACTTTTATTATTAGAAATTTTGCAGATGAAGAAAGCAAGGCTCAGAGAGGTCAGGAAACTTCCTATGATTCCTGACTATGGTAGAACTAGGCATAGAGGCCAGGCTCTTAGATTTAAATGCCACATGTTATCCACAGTCCCTAGGCTGCTCCTGCTGCTGGCTGTACTCACGGGGCTGTGGTTAGGACCTGATGGGGTGACATGTGGTGACATGAACAAAGAGTACTATATCAGCTCTAAAGAGCTCTGCCAGAGAGCAGAGTGTGAGTGTTGAGATGTCCCCAGTGCCATGGGGACCTCCCTAGTCCCATTGAGGGAACTCAGATGACTTTTTGCCACTGTGACCACGATACTTCAGGGGCTGCTGCAACATTAGAGAATCAACGAGGAAAAGTGTCCGATTGCTACACAGTCAAAAGTATTTCAGCAGAGAAGCTCAACCAAATGGTTTTCAGCATAAATGGCTTTTGTTTCTGTTCTTCCTCGAGCTTCGCAGAGGAGCCAGGCTGAGGTGGAAGGGCGGAGGCCCATGGGCACTTGGGGTTTCATCGAAGTGAATGGAATAAACCTTAAGGTTCATGACCTTTAAACATGTACCTGCTCCTTCCCATGCACTGTGGACTCAATAGTGGTGTCCTCCCAAATTTTTATGTTGAAATCTTCATCCCAAGGCCTTGGTATTGGATGTAGGGCCTGTAGGTGGTAATTAGGTCGTGAGGTTGGAGTTCTCGTGAATGGTCTCTGCACACCTGGCTGTGATACTGATACTGCCTTATGAGAACAGTCCAGGCGGCTGGCCAGTTGTTTCTGCCATGTGAGGATACGGACAAGGAAGACAGGCTTCACCAGATCCTGACCGAGCCGCAGGCATCCTGATCTCGGACTTCCAGTCCCCAGAATGGAGAAGTCAGTTTCCGTCATTGCTAAGCCACCCAGTCTATGGTCATGTGTTGAAGCATCCCAGACTGACAAAGTCACCAGGTGAGCCTGGTGAGGTAGAGGTGAAAACTGGGTTATGCTAAGAAAGCAAAAAAAAAAAAAAAAAAAAAAAAAAATGAGCTCTATGGGAAGTCAGGTTGAATGAGTCAGGACACAAAAGCCCAGAAATTTCAGTTCTGTGCCAGAGGAAATAGCGAGCTATTGTGAGTTCTGGAACAGGAATGTTAAGTTCCAGGATTTTTCTCTTTATAAAAGAAAAATGATTTTTCTGAGATCTAAAAACAATCCCCAAACTTCCCTTTGTTCCTGGAAACTTCCAACAAAGATAGTGGACATGATCCCTGCACTCAGAATACTCAGAGTCCAGGAATTAGCAATGATAACTACTAACCACATTTAAAAAAAATAAAAAAAAACAATATATATATATGACTCATTTTGTTCCAATAAGGTTTCAGTGTATAGTAACTGTGATAGCAACTTCCCTGTATCTCATTTAATGTTCAAAGCAAGGCGACTATGGGGTACGGGGAGCATTGGATCTATTTTAGAGGTAAGAAAGTCATTCTTTTGAAGAGTCATGAATTATGCCCCTTTACTTTCTTGGTTTGCTCTGCTTTAGGTCAAACTGAAGCAGATCCCTGTGTCCCGGGCACCTTTCTTACAGCCCTGGGTTTGCATGAAGTTGGGGATGTAGTGGGACAGCTGGGGTCCTCTGCACACCTGGGTCTGATACTGATACTGCCTCTTCCTGTGTTGACCTGTGCAATCATTTTTCCTCAGGTCCTCTCCCTCAGACCAGAATTTGGCTTCATCGGCACACCAAGTAGATATCTGTGGATTTGGTATTTTCAAGGGGACTACATGTCTAAAGCAGCCACTCAAGCTTTTCCATCCAACATAGACAACATGGCGGCTGACACTCATGCAGAGCACACCCCCTGCACCCCACCCTGCCCAGAGTATATGAATGAGTCTGGCAGTAGGTCTGAGGATACCTAGCACACACACACACGATAACTCCTGCCTTTCTTTTACAGTCGAGAAAGCATGATGACATACAAGCCTGGGTCACTTACTTATTAAAAGTCTTAGATAGTTCCAAATCTTCTCAATTTCACTTTTTAAAAAATCATTAAAATGTTCATACTTTATCCAGAAAAAAAAATGACTTGAGATTCATATCACAGTGGATGCTGTGTCCTAACGTCAGAGCCCTTATTCTTGTTTGCAGGATCAGTCTGGATTGGCTAGGTTATGCTGCAATAACAACAAAAAAATCCCTTAAAATGCCAGTGATTTAAATCAACACATTTATTTCTTGCTCACTCTATCTTTATTTTTCAGGTCAATATGGTATCTCCTCACTGTAGCCGTTCAGGGACCCCGGCTGATAGAGATGTTATCTTGACCTGTGCGTCTGTGATCACAGAGACAAAGGAACGAGAACCAGTGAACAAATCATTGGCTTTTAAAACTTCAGACCCCGTCATTTCTGTTCACAGTTCATTGTCCGGAGAAGGTCACATTGTCCAACCTGTGTTCAATAGGACAACGTTATCATTACATGTTTATGAGCATAAAAGTTGTCTTCCATACTTCCCCTTTATCATTCAAAATGAACCAAGGAGCTGTAAGCGCTATTTGCCCCTAAGTGTCCCCTTCAACCCTACTGATGACTGCCTTTCCTTTATCTTTTAGGTGAACGGTGTAGGAGTTTCCGGAGTGTAGTACCAACCGAAGAACAAGGTACTCATGTTCTGCCCATGGGCACTCCTCATAATTTGAACAATGTTTTATTGTTCTATTGGATCTGGGGGAAAAGATGAGACAGTCATTTATAGTTTTCCCTCAAGTTTGCCTGTCTTCAAAAAGGAAGAGGCAGTGTCTTCTATTGAAATCAAACCGATGTGTGAAGTTTTGATCCGGGGAGTGGGGATCCCAGTTATCTCTCGTGTCCTACCCTGGGGTCTTGCTTAGTATTTTCCCCTCCCAACTATGGTCAGTCTTTAGAAATATCTCCTCCGGGTCCTAGGAGCCCCCTTTATTTGCCAACTCTCTGAGGATCTGTGACTTTGACTCCAAGGAGTTGTGGTTTGTTTCACAAGTCACTGTGGTCTGGAAATGGCTTGAGTATGTCTACCAGAAATTCTTGTTTTGGAAGCTGGGCCTCTAGTGTGGTGATCCTTAGAGGTGGTGAAGGACCTGTAAGAGGTGGGGGCAAGTGAGGGGTATTAAGGTCATTGGGGCAAGAAAATTAATGCAGTTCTTGTTTGACCCTAAGTTTGTTCTTGTAAGACAGTTGTAATAAAAGAGATCGCTTGGTCCCTCCCCACCTCTCTTGCCATGTGATCTCTTCCTCTAGTACCTACTTCACCATGATGCTATCTACCATGATTTGGTATAGCCCAGGGGCCTTTGCAAGAACCAGCCTCTTACATCATCCAAAACTGTGAGCTAAATAAACCTTTTTATTTGTTATTTTTTTGGAGGGAGGTAGAGTAACCAGGGATTGAACTCAGGGGCACTGGACCACTGAGCCGCATCCCCAGCCCTATTTTGTATTTTATTTAGAGACAGGGTCTCATTGAGTTGCTTAGCCCCTTGACTTTGCTGAGGCTGGCTTTGAACTCTCAATCCTCCTGCCTCAGCCTCCCAAGCCACTGGGATTACAGGTATGTGCCACTGCATCAGGCCTAAACCTTTTTCTTGATAAAGCAACCAACCTCAGGTATTTCATTACGGCAACAGAAAATAAGCTAATACAGAAGTGAACTAAATCAAAGGCTTGAACCTTTCAGTACTTACGAGTTCTAAATGCCCAGCACTTCTGTCCTCCTTTCATTTTGCAGGTGTTTTATGGCTCTGCATTGGGGCTGAGGTCCTGGTTGTCTTTCTGATCCTGACAAGTGCCATCCTCCTGGGCTCCAGAATGAGCTGTTACAGCTGTGGGTTCAACTGGCTCAAGGTGGATGCCTCAATAGCCATCCTCATGGTATTCGCAGGTACTCTCCGGCAGCATCAGTAGAACAGGCAGATTCCCCTCAGCCTGCCCCAGGGGAAACACAATACTTCAGGCTGGGTGTACCCACTGCCAATAATAAACTGACTCCTTCCTCTCCATGGCCAGTTCAGCAGAACGACCGGTCCCCTGAGTAAGTCACTGAATTAATTCCATCGGGTAGAAGCATTGTTGCCTTGTGACTGATGAACAGAAAGGGGATAGGCAAAGACAGAGATGAGGATTTATCCGTATATCTTTGTCACAACCAGAGAAGAGGGTGCACTGGCTGTGAGAACAGAAATCATCTCATTTAGTATGGTGGTCAGGCCTCAACCTATGGAAGAATCCTGCCAGGTTCAAATCTTTACTACTTAAGGGCTGTGTTATTTAACCTCTATAAATTAGCTATCATAGCTAGATTATATAGATTACAGTGATGACCAAATTAGAGAGCATCTGGGCGTGGTGGCATATGCCTGTAATCCCAGAGACTCAGGAGGCTGAGGCAGGAGGGTTGCAAGTTCAAAGACAGCCTCAGCAACTTAGTGAGACCCTAAGCAACTCAGTGAGATTCTGTCTCTAACAAAATTTTTTTTCTCAAAAAAAGGCTTAGGGATGTGGCTCAGTGGTTAAGCACCCCTGGGTTCAATCCCTGGTACACGCACACACACACACACACACACACACACACACACACATAGAGAGAGAGAGAGAGAGCGCTTCTAGTATATAGTAAGTGCAGAATAAATTGGAAGCTTTTGAAAAATTATTATCCAAATTTGGTGTCAATGTTTCATAAAAGTAAAGAACTAGTTATTTTTTTTTTTTGGTTCTACTTCTATTTTCTCTAAACAACTTTAAAGCAACTTAATTTGGTCTCCTACGTGAGTCTGTCCTCCAAGAAAGAACCCAGAACAAATTACTCCTTCCAGTTCTCCAGGTGGACCAAGTCTGTTTATAGTGTATCCATCCAATTTGCACATGGCTTTTGTGCTTGATGAGTGTAGCATCTTTCCTGAGTCTTATCACCAGAGGATACAGTGATAAAAATTCAACTTCTGGATCTTCATAGCAAAGATCCAGGGCACAGACACTTGGAGACTCCTGCCTAGGTCCCGGTATCCACTGAGGTCCTGCCTGATTGTGATTCAGCCTCTTTCTGAATGTCTCTTCAGTTGCAACTGTAGAAATCAGATGCCACATGGAACGTAAAAGGATGTTTAAGCACAGATACATCATGAAGAACTTTGTGGGCACTAGAGAACTCCTAACTTCCCACTCATGCAAGGTAGAGAGCTCTTCCACCATGTTGCTTTCTTACGCATGGCTCACAAAGCTTTCCTTGTGCAGGGCTCCTGGGCATGGTGTCCCACATGATGTACACGACTATTTTTCAAATCACTGTGAACCTTGGGCCAGAAGATTGGAGGCCTCAGACGTGGGACTATGGCTGGTCATATTGGTAAGTTGTTCTCTCCTGGTGCTCAATCCTGGTGGACGAGCAAGCGGTGCACACGAGTCTGGTAGGACAACTGACATGGGTCATGGTGCTGACACCTGCTACTCCTGTGACTTTGAGTTGGTTTTGTGACCTTTCTATAGTCTAGTTTCCTTATCTGTAAAATGAGGCTGTCTGCCTTACATAGTTTTATAAGGGATTTGAAGAGGTTATGTTTGCAAAAATGCCTGGCACATAGCAAAGTCCCCAAGAAATGAAGACATTGTTGTTACATTATTTAAACACAGACTGGCAGAGAGTGCCCTGAGCTAGAACCCCTCTTCAGTGAGAGGAGACCCAGCCCCTGTGCCTAATATAAAGATAAGGCTATGGCTTGGAAGTTCTGAATCTAACAGAAAGGCTTGGCCATGACCTAAAAGACCACAGGGATTCTTGTTAACGTAGACCTCCAAAGCATATTAGATCCTAAAAATAGAGGTACATAGACCTACATTTTCATCCTACATGGTAACCTCTTGGGTTAGGTGAAAGTCATTGGATTAAAAATGGCATCGTGGGGCTGGGGGTTTGGGCTCGGTGGTAGAGCACTTGCCTTGTATGTGTGAGGCACTGGGTTCAATCCTCAGCACCACAGAAATAAAATAATTAATTAATTAAAGATATTGTGTCCATCTACAACTAAAAAAAAATATTTTAAAAAAATGGCATCATTCATGTCAGATCCTGTCAGGGAGACCCTGAGTGGGGGAGAGCTCTTATGCATGATTTGCCTAATAATAGGAAAGTTTTGCAAACTGTAGTTCACTGTGAGTCACACAGGGACAGCAACAGGCAAGGACAGTGATCCATTTAACCATGAACACCTGCTAGATACACTGTGTCAGAAGCTTAATCCAAAGCCACAAGGGCCTAACTGGAACCCCAAGATTACAAATAATCTTACCTAGCAACAGCAACACCAGCCAACCACGGCTTGCCACTCCCAAAAGATACCACTAGCGTCAACAGATTTATTTTTGAACCCAGGGGCACTCTATCATTGGGCTACATCACAAGCCAGTTTTATTTTATTTTGGGACAAGGTTTTCTAAATTGCTGGGATTGGCCTTAAACTTGCCATCCTCCTGCCTCAACCTCCCCAGAGTTAGAGGTGCGCGCCACTGTGCCTGGCAACAATAGACTTTCTTTCAAAACAACTTAAATAGCTCTTTTCTTTTTCAATAAAATCACAACCTTTTCCTTTGTTCTTTGGATAGACCAGAAGCTACCCTGGTCTGTGCATATGTTCTTCCAATCCTAATCTCTGTTTATCCCAAATAAAACATTTTGCTTGGAGATCTGTCTTAATATTTGGATGTGATGGTGATTTTCCTCTTTGCAAAACAAACACTTTCAGGTTTCCCTCCCTCGTCTTACTATCCTAGAGTTTGGAGAACATGCCTGTGTTGCTATGATCCTTATGCTGCATAACTTATCAGGTTTAAAACTCTTCTTTGTCTTTATCTTTATCCCAGTCTGAAGATGTTAAGTTTTATGAATGCTTTTCTATACACCTCCACCTGTTTATCACTTTAGGGCTTCTCTCTGTACTACAGCCACTGGTCCTGAGGGGTTATCACCAGCCCTAGGCACAGTGAAGCAAAGATGAATTTCAGGTGGGTTCTTATCTATAACCAATTTGTATCGAGCTCCTGTTGCTATAGATAAAAGCAAATCCCAAACCACATAGGAATTTTAAGAATGTGGTTTATTTTCAGCATCATTTGGTTTTATAGATAAAAGCAAATCCCAAACCACATAGGAATTTTAAGAATGTGGCTTATTTTCAGCATCATTTGTTTTTGGTTTTGTTCCTATTACTTACAATTACTTAATTTTTAATAAAAGATACATATGCAAATACTTTTCAGAATCAAATAATATGAAGCACAACCATCTATCAATTCCACCCCCCTCCAGTTCCCCCAAAGCCCCCCATCTTCCTGCTCTCTTCTGAACTGGTTGCTGTTAGAGACTTCCCTTTGTCATGAGACTGACTTTTGCCACTCATTTATATGTTGCAGTGCTACTTCCTAGGTCCCATAGTATTACCTTATTTAGTTTGTGTTCATGTTTTGTGGGAGCACATCCTTGAGTAGCTTCCTAAGAAAGGATTCAATGAGAGATCAATTTTTTTTTTCCTTGCATGTCTGGAAATGTATTTATCCAATGCTCCAGACTTGTTTGGTGAAGTACAGAATTCTTACTCAATAATCATTTTTTCTTAGAATTTTGGAGACAATGATTTGTCATCTTTTAGCATTATTGTTACTGTCCGGCATTCAATACCATTCTAATTAGTGTGTTTTTGTAGGTGGCCTGTTGTTTTCTTCTGAAATGTCTGGATGATGTTCCTTGGTGGGATTTTCTTTCCATCACATTCATTCTTCTTTCCTATGCTTGGTAGGCCCTTTAATCTGAGCATTCATGTCCTAGAATTCTGGGAACATTTCTTGTATTACTTCTTTGATTATGTCTTCCCTGTAGGTTTCTGTTTTCTTAGAACTCTTGTTAAGTAGTAACCAAACAAGGTCTCTTGAGTTAATTATCTCAATGTCTTATTGCTTTCCTTATATTTTCCTAATACTTCCTTATATCTCTTTCTCTTTTTATTATACTTTTTTTGAAAAAGTTTCCCTTGCACGTCCTGTAACATTTCTATTGAATTCTTATTTGGAATCATTTTAATTACCAAGAACTCATCTTGGTTTTCTAGTTGTTCCTTTTTTCCTAGTATCCTGATATAGATTTACAGATGTAAAATCTTTTTATCCCTCTGAAGATACCAACCAAAGGGTTGTCTTTTGGCTTGCTGTTTCCTAGTATCTTGCATTATCTCTTTCCTTTAGAATTCTTATTGATTGATTGATATTTTCCCCCCTGTTCATTGGTGGGTCTTTCCATCAAATTTTGGCATCCTTGACTGTCAAGTCATATTTAGGGATAATTGAAGCTCTCGAGCAGAACTGGAATTGATCTGCTGGTGGGCCCTTTTTGTATGTGGTTGAGTATGAAGCCATTTTTTTTTTCCTGGAAATTCCACCTCATAAAATCACACGTGCTTGTTGGTTTGTAGAGGTTCTTTCTCTGCAACCACTTTGGAGGGGAACCACCCAACACCTAAAAGAAGAGGAATGAGTCTTCATGGCCGCTGATTTCTGCAGTTAGATATGAGAAAGGGACTGGAGAGCTTCTTTCTCCATATGCAAATTTCCATGCAACCTCCTGTCTTCAGACCACGACTGTCCCCCACCTTCCACTGAACCTGCTGTCTCTGAATCTAGAATCTTTCTTCCTTTCACTTTGTCCAAACAATAAAACTGAGCTCTCCCAGGGGCAGGGGGGAGAATGTAATACGGAGGAGAACCAAGAGCCAACCATCCCAATGTCAGTACCCTGACATTTTTGTGCTATATTTGTACCTGAAAGTGCTGACCTCTCAAGGATTCGGTGGGGCTAATCCAGCAGACTTCCTGCCTTGTTGGAGCCGAGTTATCCCTCCTCCAGGTGCCTTCCATCTCTCCTGCCTCTCCAATTCCCTTTGCCCTGTGTGTCCACACTAGTGCATTAGCCTTCTCAATTCACTGGGTATAGAGGGGAGCGCTGGGTCCTTGAAGTCAGTCTCCCATTGAAACACAGAAGTCCCTCTCTTCATTGTGCCCCCTTTTGGGGGGCTGCTGTGAGGTTACATTAGGTAACGCAGGGTTCACCATGGCATCTAGCATACAACGATAATATTAATTATTATTATCCACCCAGAAGCATGTCTGCTTAGCTCTGCATATCTGTGGTCTTCTCCAAATTGGTCCCTTCTCTGTCACACAGCCCTTCTCTCTATCCCATAATCATGTAAACATATAAACACCCCTTGGGGTAAAGCAGATGCTAATCATCATCTCACTCACTGAATGCCTCAAAAGAACACTGTGGGACAGCATGAGTATTAGTCCAGTTTTGCAGATAAGGAAACTTACACAAAGCAGCGAAGCAACCAACCAGCTTAAGGTCACAGAGACAGTAAGAGGCGGGGCCTTCTGGTGTAAACCCAGCAGGATGATTCCAGAATCCGTTCTGTCAATCCCTGGGCTCAAAATCATATTGTCTGGTCTGGTCTCTGGAATTTGTGATTTAAAAAAAAAAAAAACAATGCAGGTCCAAATGGGGGTAGAAGCAGGAGATGGCTTTTCACCAGGCTGACCCTCAGCAAGAGGCCCTGGAATCACAACCCTATACCCCTTCCTAATTCTGTCTTTTGTTGACAGCTTGGCCTGGGGTTCTTTTGCCCTGTGCATGGCTGTGTCGGTCACGGTCATGAGCAGATACACCACAGCCCGCCTGGAATGCTCAGAGAGGCAAAGGGTACAGAAGAGCACACAGCACCCTCAGTATGGCTTCCCAGAACCTGAGACGTCACAAAGTGTTTGGGAAACAGGAGCTGCTCCCAGCTCTGCAGGGCACACCTTTCTGAATGTCCCAGGCAAGGTGTCCATGTGCTAGCCAGTGGCCTGTGGTGGCCAGATCTGCACATGCAGATAATCCAGGTATTGTATCCTAAATGAACATCTCCGGGGTGGACTTCAGAAGACTAAGGTCCAGGTAACCCTGCATTTCCCATCCAGTGCTTCACTAAACACCTTTGGCTCCAGCCTCTCGTTCATGTTAAAATTCCAGTATCTTTAAGCGAAACAATTCTTACAGAAGAGATCAACCATTGACACTCTAGTATGAAGGAGCTCCTTCAGCTTTTCTGACAGTGAGTTTAATAAAAGTACCAAGGAAAGAGGGATCATGCAACCACTAGGAGGAAGAGAAGATGAAGAGTGAGAATGGCAAGTCTTTACAATGCATGCAAAATATGTAGCCCACATGGATTTATTGACCGAAAAGCCCAGAATGTTTCTTCCCCTTAATTGGCAGAGAAAATAAAACGTGTGGCTATCACAGACTTTCTTTTTTTTTTCTCATCAAGACGGTAGAAATTTAAAAATAAGTTTATGATCATTAAAAAAATGTGTTTTTCTTTTGAAACTTGACACTATCTAACTTTAGACTAGCTGCCTATTTTCTACTAAAATCCGTTGGGAAAGATAGCTCAATGATAGAAAGAACTGAAAACACAGTCAAAGGGGGTGGTATCTTATCTCCGTTAAGTGGAACAAATGTTTGAATTGTCCTGCTTAAATTAAATAGCCAGGAACTTTTGCTTCTAAAAATAAACATTGCCAAGTATGCAAGTCTCATCTGAGGCACCAGTGTCCGGTGGCTTTCCTAATGTGTCAGTCACAATCTTCTATCAATTTATCTTGTATTTTAAGCCAACATGTGATTGAAGCCACAGGTTGTTAGACATGTAATTTGAGTGGGGGGTAGGGAAGATGGAACACTGAATTCTAATAGCTCAGATTGTTTTGTTTAATCGTACTTAGGTAAGTTCAGTAAATTTTCATTCTGATAACAGTCATACTGTTACACAAAGGAAAAAAATCCAACTTCTTTTTAAAATTATTTTTTAGACATTGATGGACTTTTATTTTATTTATATATTTATATGCAGTGCTGAGAATCAAACCCAGTGCCTCACACATGCTAGGCAAGTGCTCTATCACTGAGCCACAACCCCAGCACCCCCCCCAACTTAACTTCTTCGTGTTTGGAATTCGTGTTGAGCACCTGCCTAACAAATGCTGGTCCTGTGGAATTTTGTGCTTTGTTGCAACCAAACCCATTTTAAAGAGATAGAAGGTGGATTTTTTTTTTTTTTTTGAGTGTGACCAAATCAAAGAATGTGTGTTGGGGTTCCTGAAGCTGTTTGCTTACCTAGAACAAAAGGGTTGGTGCCCAATAGCCTCTGCCCTTTGTGGTGTGGAGGTCCTTTTATATGATATCACTGTGAGTAGCTGTGTCTGTAGATCCTGTGAGACTGTCCTAATATCGAGTCAGATCGGATCCTGGGAGGAAATCCCCTGTGAACATTACCAAAAAGACACTTAATTCTCTCTTGGTGGGGGACATATCTTGGGATACAACTGAATATGCCAAGGAAGAGATGATTTTCTAGAGAAACATGAGAGAAGCCAGCATCACTGGTTAGAGAAAGGATCCAGTAGTCAGTTTAGACTTCAGGGCAGGGCAGAAGGCAATCGCTCACTAAGGCTCGAGTCAAAATTGATTCTCTGCTGTGTCCTCTGAGCTCCCCAAGGCACCACACTTCCTTTTAATAATTTTGTTTTGTGGTGGTGCTGGGGATTGAACCCAAGACCTAACATGTGCTAAGCAAGTGCTCTACCCCTGAGTTACAGCCCCAGCCTTTTTCATTTTTCTTTGGAGAGGAGGAGGGTCTCATTAAATACCCCGGCTGGCCTCAAACTTATGATCCTCCTGCTGTAGCCTTGCAAGTCTCTGGTATGACAAGTGGGTGCCTCTGCATTCTGCCCTTTTTAATGTTTAAAATGTCGTCAGTAGTTAAGTATAAAGACAAAATGCACACTCTCCCATGTACCCAGCCTGCAGCTGAAGATGCAGAACCAAAGTGTCTCATTTTCTCTCTCTTTGCTCTAAGATGGCTGAATTTTAATTCTTCACTATGTTGAAATGATCTCTTTATTTCCATTCCCTCTTCTAGATTATAAATTCCTCTATGGAAGAACTGTTCTTTGTAGGCACCCCAATATCTGCAATAATGGCTGGCAAATTTTTAGATGTGTCTATAAATTTATATACACATCAAACGTGTGTGCACATGGATATGTGTACTCGTGTGTATGCATGTTACATATATGTGTGCATGCATGTCCACTCTATTAAATAGCCTTTTTAAAGCATTTCGTAGGAACTAATAGAACTGATGATTAGAGCATGAACTCCAAAGCCTGTAAATCCTGGACCCTCACCTTGACCTTGCACAAGTCACTTCAACTCTCTCTGCCTCAGTTTTCTCATCTGGAAAATGAGAGCATTCTTCTTGCCTATTCTAAAGATCACGAGGACCCAGTGCACTAGTAAGTGTGCAGAGCAGTGTCTGGCACTCAGAAAGCACCACAGAAGATCTGGCAGGTCACGGCACTGTGCTTGGGCATCCAAGGAAGGACAGAGATCTGAGCCCTTGCCAGTGAGTTGGGGAAGCGATAGTGAAAATCTCAGGGACCGTGTCCCAGAGAGACAGGGATCCTTAGGTGCAAACCCACCAACCATTTTTAGCCTGGAAGCCGTCAACCCTCAGTTAACCAGTCAGTGAATTGTATCAGGTCTCTCCAGTGTCCCAGGCACCCCGCCATCTCTCCTGGATGAAAGAAGTTACAATTTCTTTTCTAGTGTTAACAAATGTCTGTTGGGGGTCAATCGTTGAAGAATTGGTCCATGACTTGCGGTCTACTTATTTCAACAGCTGACAAAGCAGAGGCCTTGGGAGAAATGGGAAAATAGCCCAGTTTTCTGAAGCTTTGAAGACATTTCACGTAGATGGCTGACCAACAATGTGATTCTCTTTTGTTAACTGCATTGCATTGCTTCAGAAAGAGGGAGTACAAAGGCCAGGCAGGAAGAACTAGGTTTTTTGCTTCTTTTGAGTTGTCACATGAAGCAAGAGAGAGACATCTTCTGCACCACGGAGATATGGAAGAAAAGAAAAAGAGTAACTTGAAAACAAGAGAACTTGGAAGGTCAGAGAGATAGATAAGAATGCCAGCCAGAACCCATCTGGTCCTTTCTCTCTCTGATTATTTTATTTTCTCTTTTCAATGATGCAGTATTTCAATATACCTAAAATAATGGAACAGGCATCCACGTACCCACCACTGAGATTTAAGAGAAGTGTTTTGTCACAGTTATCCTAAATCTCTTTTTAAAAAAAAAAAAAAAATTAGTTGGGCACGGTGGTGCATGCCTGTAATTCCAGCAGCTCAGGAGGCTGAGGCAGGAAGATCTCGAGTTCAAAGCCAGCCTTAGCAACAGTGAGGCACTAAGCAACTCAGTGAGTCCCTGTCTCTAAATAAATTACAAAATAGGGCTGGAGATGTGGCTCAGTGGTTGAGTGTCCCTGAGTTCAATCCTCAGTATTCAAAAAAGAAAAGAAAATGTTTAAAATACAACTAACACCTCACTTTCCCCTCCCCATTCTCCCACTCTCACTCAAGAATGAACCACCATTGAGGTTATAAATTAGTATAATCATTATGGAAATCAGTATGGAGTTCCTCAAAAGATTGGGCCCGGAACTATTACATGACAAAGCTATTCCACTTCTTGGTATTTATCTGAATTAAAGTCAGTAGGCATGCGATCCATGCATTCCCACGTTTATAGCAACACAATTCACAATAGCCAAACTATGGAACCAGCCTAGGTGTCCATCAACAGATGAACAGATAAAACATCTGTGAGATATATATATATATATATATATATATATATATATATATATATATATACACACACACAATACAGCCAGAAAGAAAAGTGGAATTATATCATCTGCAGAAAAATGAATGGAACTTGAGAACCTAATGCTAAGCGAAATAAGCCCAACTCAGAAGGTTGAGGGTAGAATGTTTTCTTTCCTATGTGAACACTAGAGAGGAAAAAGGGTAAGAAAGGTAGGGAGGGATCTTATGAAAATTGAAGAGATATCAGTAGAATAGAGGAAAGAGACCAGAGATAAGGAGGAGGAAAGGGGAAGAGAAAATATACTGGGGGGACTACATCTATCCCTGGCTACTTCCTGATTCTCTCTCTTACACCACACTGCAGAACAATCTTGTCCAAGTTATACTGTTAGATAATGTTTATGTACAAGTGTGTAACAACAAACCCCATCATTATGTATGACTATAACCCACCCCGCCAAAGGGAGATCAGGAGTAGAAACAGCTTCATGAAACAGAAGAGGTACTGGTGCTGGTTGGGAAAAAAAGATGCTAAGCCAACCACCCCTGTGTGTCAGCCTCGGTTATATGCATGGAGGGTACAGGAGCAAGGAGAAGAGATTGACCCAATGACTGTTTAGGAAGTATGCACACATACATTGCCTCATTTAGCCCTGGTAGCCTTCACCTCTGAGCTCCATGACCATTTCCACACCCCCAAAGACCTGCAGAAGATGAGAGTTTCTATATTGACAAGCGCAGCCCCTCAAACTGTTGACCAATCCTTCTGCCAACCAAGCCTGGCGGGTGTCCTCAGGAATGGGCCCTGGATGATGATGAGAACCAACACGGACTAGAAAAGAACTGGCAGAAGAAGGAGACAGAAACCGTCAGCCCAGCGATGGGCCAGACCCTTTCAAGGAGTGGTAGACATGTCACCATTCTAATTCCATACACTGAGACAACGAGGAAGGTCACAGGATGAACACCGCTTGTCTGAACTGCTGGAGGCCACAGTGTTTCAGATTGGGGATTTTAAAAATATGTGCTTAGACATACTGAGATATCATGGAGATGGGTTCCAAATCTAAATACAAAATCCATTTATGTGTCATATACACCTTATACACATGGCCT